CCAGCCCCCGTGAGCCAGCCTCCCTGCCCAGGGTGGGGTGAGGGAAACAGTCCTATGGGAGGCCACCCACTTCCCACAGCGCCGCCCCTTGGGTCTCCCATTTCCAGTGCAGCTGCTCCTGGACCACGGGGCCGATCCGAACCAGCGGGACAGGCTGGGGAACACACCGCTGCATCTGGGTGAGTGCCGGAGAGCCCTCGCGATGCGCTTCTGATGGTCCTACAGGGAAAGCCCGTCCCCCAACCAGCTGCCTCCTGCTCCCGCCCGGTCCCCCATCCCTCAGTAGCTGGCTGGGCCCTGGGCTGCAGGCACTGTGAGGAAGGGACTTGAACGCTGCCCTGCTGTCCCCTTGTTGAAGCTGGCCTCTCTGCAGGCTCGCTCCTGCCCTCATGCCCCTGTTCTTCTTCCTCAGCGGCCTGCACCAACCACGTGCCTGTCATCACCACCCTGCTTCGAGGAGGTATGAGGTCCCTGCCCCTCCGCCCTCCTTTCCTCTTCCTCCCCCTGCCAGTTCGCTCACCTCCATGCCCCACAGGTGCCCGGGTGGACGCCCTGGACCGAGCTGGCCGCACGCCCCTGCACCTGGCCAAGTCCAAGCTGAACATCCTGCAGGAGGGCCACTCGCAGTGCCTGGAGGCTGTGCGGCTGGAGGTGAAGCAGGTGAGCGCCCTACCCTACCCTGCGGGGCGCCTCTCCCCAACCCCCTGCCAGCACCCCGCTGCCACTCAGCCTGCCTGCTCCTGCAGATCATCCAGATGCTGCGGGAGTACCTGGAGCGCCTGGGGCGGCACGAGCAGCGGGAACGGCTGGATGACCTCTGTACCCGCCTGCAGATGACCAGCACCAGAGAGCAGGTGGGTCCCAGAGAGCAGGGCCCACTGCAGCCATGCACACGCCAGCGAGACTCTGGAAGCCAGAGCTCACTTGGCGGGGCGTCAGGATGTGCAGGCCAGTGCCAGTGCCTGCCCTCTGGGCCTGTGGTGTTGGGGAGGAGACCTGGGGCATAGTGCGCCGCATCCAGCCTCGGTTTGTCCCACAGGTGGACGAGGTGACCGGTCTCCTGGCCAGCTTCACCTCCCTCAGCTTGCAGATGCAGAACATAGAGAAGAGGTAGCAGCGGCCCCCTGCCCTCGCTCGGCCACCACCCACCACCCACCCTCGGCTCCAGACACAGCCAAAGCCCGGTCTCCGTCCCCACCCCCCACCCCCAGTGTGGAGTGGCCCGTCAGGCCCTCACCCTCACCTGCAGAGGCTAACCCCAGAGCCTCTTTCCTCCACGGCCCACAGCCGCTTCCTCTGCTCCCGCAGCGCCAGGCCAGCGTCCGGCCACCTGCCGCCCTAGGAGGCCCGCCCAGGCCCAGCCTCCTCTCTGTCTCCCTTCCCGGCCACAGGCCTCTTTGCAGCCAGCGGGGTACAGGCTTGGGGTAAGCACACGGCAGCCCTGGGGGCTGCAGTGGGGGCTGTTGGGCTGGCCCCATGCTGTCAGCAGCACCGGCCACCTGACATTCAAGGAGATCCAGTGGTAGGCTGCTCTGGCCGCTGCAAAGGCTGAGTGAAGCCCTGACCTTCACAATGCTAGGTCAGGAAGGTCCTTGTGGAACCCCAAGTGGGAACCCCCTAACTCATTTGGTCCCAGGCCTGAGACTCCAGAGGACTATCGTAGGTGTGCTAGATTGAATAAAGGCCCCCTCCCCACTGAGAAGCCCCTATACTCTAATCCCAGGAAACCATACATGTTACACGGCAACAGAGACCTGGCGGTCTGTGTTTGTTGAGGGTCTCAAGATAGTGTGTGGTGTCCTGGACTCCCCAGGTGGCCTGCCGTCACCACCGAGTCCTCCTAAGAGAAAGGACTCGGAGCCCCGAGGATGGATGGAGGATGGAGGTGGCAGCAGATGGGGGCGAGGGCGGAAGAGGGGGAGCCAGGGCTTCAAGAAGCCAGGAAACTGGCCATCCCCCTTGAAGCCCCGCCCCTCCTCCCACTCCACCTCCAAGAAGCCTGCCCACCAGCCTTGGCTTTGTCCAGGGGAGAGGGGGCCTTGCAGGCACCCCCTGCAGACTGTGAAAGAAGAATAAACTTGTGTCTTAATCCAGAGTGCAGTCTTTCTTACAGCGGCAACTGGACATGAACATGCGATAAAGTCTCAGAGGGTTTGCGCAGCACTTAGCTCACGGTAGCAACCTCCCAGTGGATGGACCCGCACTTGTTACTGGCCTTGGACAGGCAGAAGGAAGTGTCCCCTCAGGGCAGGGCCCCCTTCCACAGCCTGTTAGCCACTGGCCATTTTTATATCCTCAGAGCCCGGACTATGCTCCACGTTCCCTCTCAGCCAGTCAGAAGAAGAGAGCTTGCCTCACAAGTCCTAACTTGCTCAGATGGGAATTGAACTCTCGAAACGAGCTACTCCACAGGCTCTGAAGCAAACAGGGCCTCTGTGGGTACCAGACACTGGCACAGCCTTGGCCGCACTCACACAAGGCCCACCAGCTGCAGGGCGGGCCAAGGGAGAGTGCCGAGGCATCAGGAACTCCTGTTGGGGCGAGTGAGGTACCCACCATGTGCCCACCGCAGTGGATGCTGGGAGCCGGGGCATGTGGGAGAGCTGGGCGCGGAGCAACGTCTCTTCCTTCTTGCCCATGATCCTTGGCCTCCTAAGTGAGCCTGTCCACCTCAGGTCAGGAGGCCCCAGACACAGCCCCACTGGCCTCCTTCCCACTGGAGTCGAAACCACCATCCGCTCCTCCAGAGAGAGAGAGAGATGGTTCTGTCTACTCCCTACAGAGTTACAGTCTTAGAAACCCACAGGGGCAGCTCCACCCTGGCCCCTGCCCGGCAGGGTCACCGTGAGTTGAAATTGACTCAGTGGCACTGAGTTTGGGTGTGCTATGGGGCGAGTCTGTGCCTCTGGCCCCGCACTGGGTCCCCTCTTAGGTGTCACCCGGCAGGCCCCCCTGGTGACCAGGTTGCGCCCTCCCCAACACCACCAGGGTGGTGGAGGGCACATCCAGGTACTTCATATCTCTGGCGTCCTCCCCATTCGCCCTTCCTCCTGCGCTTCAGTCTCATCCTCAGCCACTGAGAGAAGCAGAGCACCAAGCAGATGCCTTAATCAATTCCATCCCATGCAACCAGAAACGGCCCAGCCCTGCTTGGCCTGGCCCTCTGGCCTCGTGCCAACTCCGATCCAGCCAGGGGCTCCCCCAGTGTGCCCAGCAGCAGGCCTGTGAAACTGCTCTTCATTAACAGGGAAGCCGAGCTGGTTAATTGGTGTTTATTTCCCTGGGCACACACCTCCGGTTGATAGATGATGCTGTTCCCACCAGCCTCGGGCTGAGGGCAAGGCTGGCTAACGTGACTGCCTGGGCCTCCACCTTGCCAGCCCTCCCCAGGGCCCAGTTGCTGCCAGGGCCCCGGTGGCTGCAGTTCTTTGCACAAATGAGCTTCTCTCCATCTCAGCCCTCATCTGTCCTTTCTGCTCATCTCTTCCCACTGTTTCCCCTAAAGATTGCAGATCTGAAATCAGACACTAGAATCCAAACACCCAACTTGGCTTTGGGCTGGTTTGGGAGCTCCAAGGGACAGGCTACTTTCACCCTTCTGCGCATGTTTCACTCTTTCTCCATCTGCAAATTCGAAAGCAGAGGACGCTCCCATCCCAGCACCCAGCAGGTGCTCAGAACCCCGTCACCCCACAATTCCACAGGTCGCTGGTTCCAATCTACCCTCTTCTTCCCTAAACCCCCCCCCCATTGCCCTCCATGCCACTCCCATCTGGGGGATGTTCCTCCTCACCCCCAACATTCAACCCCCACGACCCGTCCCAACAAACGTACCGTCATTGTCCACATGTCCTGGCTCTCCGACTTCTCATGCCAGTCTCCCTCCGCGCTCCCTCCTCATGCAGCCTGCCCTCGGCAGCCAGATGTGTTTGAGGTGCAAAACTGGTCATCACTCCTTTGTAGGAAACCTCTCAGGAGCTCCCTCAGGACAAAAGACAGCCTCGGTCTCAGAAGTGATTTACAGACTCCTTCAGGCATAATACAGGAGCCCAGGTAGCAAGGTGGGCTGTTAACTACAAGGTTAGCAGTTCAAAGCCACTAGCCAACCTGAGGGAGAAAGATGAGGCTTACTACTCCTGCAAAGAGTTACAGTCTCCGAAATGCATAGAAGCAGGTCTACCTGTCCTACAGGGTTGCTGAGTCGGCATAGCAGTGAGTTTGGTTTCTGGTTTTCAGGAGCCTGATGCCCCACCCCTCGCTCCTGTGTGTCCTGCCCCAGCTCGGGCAGCAGGCTGGACCACCGGACTCTGGTGCTGTGCACCCAGCGATACTCTTCCCTGCCCGGCGTCCTCCCGCCCCAGCTCTCATTATCCTGATTAACCTCAGGACTTGACTCAGGTGTGCACTCTACCAGGGAGTCTTACCTGAGTCCCCAAACTGAATCAGGGTCTCTTCTCTGGGCTCCCACAATTCCCTGTGCTTCTGGAACTTTCTTTTCTGCCAAAGAGCCCTGTGCCTAGAGGTGCTCCGCTGGGAATGCTGGAGGATAACCCTCAATGGTTGGCACACACAGGAGGAGGGGAGGGCTGCAGGACTCCCACTCCCTCCCCGAGTTGTCCCAGGTGCAGCCTAGACTTTGCAGGCTGGGTGGATTCTCCTGGGCACTGGGGGAGGGGTGTGTATGTGACAGCAGCCTTACTAGACCTGTGGTTCGAGACCCCTTTGGGGGTCAAACGACCCTTTCACAGGAAGGACCCGATTCACAACAGTAGCAAAATGACAGTGATGAAGTAGCACCAAAAACAATTTTCTGGTTGGGGGGTCACCACAACATGAGGAACTGTATTAAGTATCGCGGCATTAGGGAGGTTGAGAACCACTGTACTAGAAACACTGTTCTTGCTGACTAAGTAATGAGGGGCAGCTGCTTCTCTGGGCCTTTCATTAGCCCCTGGAAGGAAGCCCAGGAGCATCTGGGGCCAAGCCCAGGCCCAGCGGCAGGCCCTCAATCCTCCAAGGAAAACGTATTGCCAGGCCCTCATTGGCTCACCTCTCTCAGATCCAGAGCAGTCTGGCGTGGGCCCCTCATTTCCAGGCTGCCCCCTGGTACACAGCTCTCCCGCCAGCTCCGGGAAGCCTTTAATGACATCCTCGTTTTCCCTGAGGATGACCTTCCCATAGCGAGCAAACAGAGACCTTCACCCTTTCACCCAACCCTCGGGGGTCTTCCCCTGGCCTTACCCAGCCTGCCCTCAGCACCAAGAGTCCACCTGGTTCTCCTCTCCGCCAAGTTCCCTGCCTGTTCTTCCCACCAAAACCAAAACCAAACTCACAGCCACGCACATGGTAGAACTCCCGTGGGTTTCCCAAAACTATAACTGTTCATGGGTGGAAAAGGCCCCCTGTTGCTCATGTGGATTAGCTGGTGGTTTTAAACTGCTGACCTTGCAGTTAGCAGCCCAAAGCCTAACCACTACACCACTGGGGCTCTTTTCTCTAGGACAATTTTTAGTAAATATCACCTCCTCTGGGACTCCCGCTGGGTTGGCTCTGTGAAGGCCGGGCTTCCTCCTCCAAGTCATCCTGAGCGTCATACGTCAGGAGACTGAGCTTCAGGCCAAGCCTGTGTATGCCCAGTGGGTCCCCTGTCTGGCACGCAGCCTCCACTGTGCAGGGTGACCACCACTCTGGCCTCTGGCTCTGTGGAAGGTGGCAGGCAGTGATGCAGGACCTGGCAGCTGACTCCTATCTGGACAGACTTCCCCAGGGTGCCCTGGCTTGCCCACAGTCGAGGGGCTCAGGATAGATAGGAACACACAGGGTCTCAGGCTGCTATCTAGAGCTCATCAACATTATTGGTGTATGGACAGAAAGGAGGGGCGGGTGGAGGTGGATGGCTTTGAAACCGCCGAGACTGATTTATTGGTTAATTAGTGGGTTTCCAGGGCCGTAGACTCCCCAGCGGTGTGGGGGACAGGAAGGAGGGGGCCACACAGCAGCTGGGGCTCAAGTGAGTCTCCGTTTTCCCCTGCTGCATCAAATGGTTGAAAGAGCACTGGACAGAGTGGGCTTGACGGTCATCGGAAGGCCACCTGCACCCAGCAGCCCGAGTCCCTGAACAGAACTCTCAGGCAGGGTGCCCAGTATAAGGTGTGAGGAGCAGCTGCAGGTTTGGACCAAGGGCCTGGTGCCCTTCCTGAGTCAGGAAAAACCAAGAAGGATGGAAACAGAGAGGGGAGCCTCGAAAGATGCAGGCGTGGAGGGGGAGGGGGGGAGGGGTTGCGGGGGAGGGGGCGTGAGTCCCAACAGTGAGGCAGGCAGCGGTGGCTTTGACCCCACCCGTCTGGGTGGCTCCGAGCAAGTCCCTCTGCTCCTCTTGGGGGTGCCCATCCTCGCTATTCTGGGTGCTCAGGTTGGTTTCTGACTCGTGTCGCCCCCTAAGGTTTCCCAGGCTGGAGGTTTCCGGAAACAGCCAGCCTGGTCTTTTTCCCGTAGCACCACAGGTTAAGTGCAAATCCCCCGGCTCCACCCTCTACCAGGTGGGGCGCATCTTGGATGATTAGACAGACCTGGCTTGAGATCCATCCACCTCAAACACCCTCTGACTCATCGTGACCCGGCAGGACAGAACTGCTCCTGCGAGGACTCGAGGGGACTGTGAATCTCCCCGGAAACAGACAGCCTCATTACCCCCCACCCCCAACCTTTGCTTTAACCACTGCGCCACCAGGGCGCCTCTTGCGATGCATTGCTCACTACCGCAGGAGTCCATTCATACTCACATCGACCCTACAGGACAGGGTAGAACTGCGCCTGTGGGTTTCCGAGATTGTTAACTCTTTATGGGAGTAGAAACCCTCATCTCCGCCCCGCCCTGCGCCCCTCTCCCCCAGTGGGTAACCACTACCGGTAAACCAGCAGGCAGGGTAAGTTAATACATGTTTGCTCTGCTAATCACTGCCGCAGAACTCGGAGTGAAGAAGGGGCTTGCTCCCCGGTGGTGGTGCAGCAGACCCTAGGGTGCTGGCCTAATTGGAAGGCGGGACCAGGGAGAGTCTGGGGGCCGCACCTGGCTGGGTTGATCTATTTCCAT